TATTTATATTTGATATTATATCCTCCCACAGGTGTCCATTACATTTTCAAAGACTTCCCCACAGGTGACTGCAGAGCATCCCAAACACTTTAAAGAATACAGGTGCACAATCATCCACAAATCTGAGAAAGAAAATACAAGTCTGCAAACTTTTTAAAAAATTATTTGATTTAAGTAATCAAATTATGTGAAATAATTTAATAGTGTTTATCTCACTTAATGTGAATATTTTCATATTTTACTGAAGAAAATTTAATGTGTTTGAATGCTTCCCCCAACTCCCGATGGGGGTGTTACACAATACAGAGTTTGTGCTCACATTACCATTCAAAAAAGTACAACAAATCCCAAAGTATGGCCCACATGGGTTATGGTTCAAGAATTGTGACCCTATATTAATATTCACTTTAGGAAGCAATTTGCACCAGTCAATGTATAATCTGTTATCATTTGATTTGTACACAAACTCTCTGGGAATGTAATTTAATGGTCATTTAAACCACCTCTTTTATATTCAAAAAAAGGCCAAAAAACATGGTTATATACTTCCCAGATATTTCCATTTCTTTGGGAATATTTAGTGACTGCATGGAATTTTAATATTTAACTCATAAATCTTTATCTACCAATTCTTCATGAATTTATTGGAGTTAATAATCCTATATGTAAATACTACATAAAGAGGTTTCTGTTTGTAAAAATTCTGACATTACTGCAATTCATAAACATTTCTAACTTCACTGTAGACAAACAAAATATAACCCAAAAAAAGATGTATTCTATAGGTTGAATCATTTAGGAAGAAATGAAGGCATTTTATTTTTCTGGAAAGCTATGCATATATATACACGCCTAATGAGCACTTACAGCATTGTAGTTAGTGAGTGAATACTAACAATAGTTATAAATTCTGCAAAGATATAAATCTCTGCTAAGTGCAGGTGATTTGAGCTATTATCCCTGTTTACCAGATAAGCAAATAGAGGTACAAGGAGAAGGAAAATATTCTGTGTTCGACCTTTGAGTTTACTGTTGGTCCACAGAGTAACTGCTTAGTTCCTGTGTGTTCCTTAGTTCTTTCTCTCCCTCCCGCTTCCCTCCTCCCCCTCCTCCTCTTTCCTCTCCTTTTTCTCCTCCTCCTCTTCTTGTTCTCTCCTTCTTCTTCTCCTGTAGTTGAATGCCATTAGCCCACTGTTCATTCTTTTGTGACTTAGATTTTCTATTATCTTCATTGTCACTAAGCATTTTTCAGTTCCTATGTGAAACATACAATTGATGTCTTCAGGATTAATCATTCTGTCTTCCTGAGGACAGAATTAAGTACAGTGAGAACTTATGAGATATTGGATGAGTTTTACTGGCCAACTCCAAAGCCCGTTACTTGGTAGAGCCGTCGAGGTTTAACACAATGAATGCCAAGAAAGATTTAGCAGCCGTAATTATAAATGCTACTGAAATGCTACTAAAAATGAGTAATATTTTAAAACATTCCTGCAATTATGTCTTGGTAATTCTTAACTGATGGAGAGCCACAGTTCATAAAACACCAGAGGGGCTGATGCTGGACAGGTTGAAGAATGATACAAATCTCAACTAGACTTGACAGAGGACTTCACAATAATTTGGCGTTCCTTATAATTTGGTGAAGTGAGTTTTCCCTTCAAGGAGACAGAGGCATGGAGACATTTGATAGTATACCTATTACAGAAATGAAGTCAGTGGTAGAGCCAGAATTAAAACTCAGGGCATCTGAGGATCCTATATCTGATATCACCCATTTAGCCACATAGAGGATGAATTGAGTCACCAGTGAAAATTCTGGGGGAGGGGGCCCTAAAATAATTTCTTCTGACTATGCTACATCTTATCTTGCCACACTGTGGGTGACAGAGCCTGTCCTCATTATCTTATGCCCAACCATGAGCCCTTGTGTAGGAGAAGTGAGAAAAATGAAGTCTGTGGTGTGATTTTGATTGTCATGTGGGAAGAGGATGTAAACGGCTCCCTCCTCATGGACTGGGGATCTGAGTGTGCAGGCCTTTAAACATGGATCCAGGGCACGGCTCTCTCTTCTCTGCCTGACAGCTGAGAGCGCACCTCCTACTTCCTTGGCCACAAGCACACATTTTTAATAAGACATCAGTTGAGCAGTAGAATATCGGATATGAGTTTTAATTGCATTCTGCTTCCCATAAGTTCTACCCCCTCATTGTTAAGGAAAATATCACTACCTTTGGGTTCACAAAGAAGCTTTCTTGATGGGCAGTCTCCAAATTTTACAAAAAAATTCCAGTGAAGATAAGACCCACTTCACCAGCATGTGGTGCAAAATAATGTCTCCTTTCTTCTGGTGTCCAAATCCTATTGACTCAAAGCCTTTGTTCCACTGATCGCGAGAAGGCTCTCCCTCTGCAGGTGCTTGAAATGCATTCTAAGTGGAAGGGGACCTGTAGTGATTAATAACCCTTTGCAGAGGAGGAAACTGGGAAGTCTGGCCACTTCCCCTGAGGGAGTGCTTTCTCTACTGCCTTTGCCACTGCCTGGTGTGGTCAGCAGGCGAATATTCTAGGGCAAGGCTGCACGCCCCAAGGCACTGAAGAGCACCTGGCCTTACTTCTGAATCCAGGGTGAGGAAGAAACTGCTTTTCCACTCAGGTTTATTCTCATCTATGGGTGCTTCACACCACAGCCAGCCCAAATTCCAAGATACAATTCTATCACTTTATACTCAGACACAGACATTTTTCTCCAGGGCTTATCATGGTGCCTGGACACTGGTTCGGGGGATGGGGGAGGTTACAGAACCCACTTTGCCAGAAAGAGCTCACCCTACCAACAATAAGACCCTGGCGTTAAGCCTAAATCCAACTCGCCTGGGAGCCCCTTGTCTCATCTGTTGGCCTCATCCAGAACAATGCCATGATATCAGATATCCTCTAATAACTCAGAACCTCAAAGCTTTCATTTCTTTCCTTCTAGATGGCTATTTGGCCCTTCATAGAAATCTGTTGCTACAAATAGATGCAGAGGAGAGGGGCAGTGCCCAGCTTTATCCACCTGGGAAAATTGTGCCTCAGCAACTTGCTATGTTCACAAGAAGATCATGGTGTGCTCATCTCATATCACATATTTAAATGGCTACGTATTTTTTCCCCAAAAAGCATTATTTATTTTGCTGCTAAAACTAGAAATAACTAGAGCTGTTTGATGTCAGTTTTCAAAAAAATAAAAATAAAAATACAACAAACTAATCAAAAAGATCCACTAACAGTACTGTCTTGGACTAAGTGGTCATTTCAATACAAACACTGTTGTTGAGGAAGAAGACAGAACTCTGATAAAATAGTTTTGTGTATGAAACAGTAACCACCAACATAGATGTTCTGAATATGTAAAGGACCAAGAGAAAGCTCACAAAATCTAATGTGGCAAGGAAATTGAGGGTTGGAGGAAGAAAACCCCACCTCAGTCATACAGATCCCAGAAGATGCCCAAGTGCTGGATAATGAGGAAACAGATATGAGAGTGACCTGCCAGGACCCAAGTGGACCAGAGTTAAGAACATCCCACACATCCTTTGTGTGGACAAACTTAAAACTGGGCAGCTTGCACCACATTCCAGCTTAGGTAGGGTGGAATAATATCTAACATAAGACTAGATTCAGCATATAAGGCAAATGTTATGTACAATTAAAATATCTTAAAAAATCTCACAATCCATCCATAGGTTCAGAAAGTATTGCTTTGTGGGCGTAACCCCAGAAGAACATCAGGTTCTCATCTATTTCTCTATTCTTGGGCATATGCATTGAGTGGCAGGTGGTATCACCTACGACATTGTCATGTTCTTTTTCTCAAGTGCATAGAGTTGGAATCACGTGAGTCACATGTGCATATGATGCAGCTGCATTGTATGTGGGAAGGGGAAACATGTCTATGTGGCATCTTGAAAAAGCTAATCACACAAGGGAAAGGCAGTATCTGTCAGAAAATACAAAAGAAAAGCCTACCTCTAAAACTAGTCTTGGTATTGAAACAGAAAAAAAATTTTTTTTTTTGCTCTTGCCAATAATCTGTCCAACTGAGATAAAGCCAAAAAATTACAGGAGCTAAAGAAGAGATTGACACAATTCTTGAAACACTTTTTAGAGTATTTCTAAACTTTCTAAACACTTTATAAAGTGTTTCTAAATCTGGCTCCCAGGGCACCACACTAGTTCTGCTTCAATTGTACTGGTCTTTCCCTGTCAGTCTCCGTTGCTCCTTCCCCCTCATCTTCTCAACCTCCAAAGATTGATGTCTCACTAGGCTTAGCCTTTGGATCCCTTTTTTTCTATGTATTCACTCACTTGCTTGGTGATTGCTTTTGTTCCCACGGCTTTATAGGCCACATATCCCCACATGTATACGCTGATGGCTCTGCATTTATGTCTCTAGCCAGAGCTCCAGATTCACATGCATAACTAGTTACCTAACATTTCCACTTTGATGTAGCAAAAATCTCAGGCAAGCATGTCTAAAACCAAACCCTGGAGTCTTTGTTTTAATCATATTGGCTCTTCTTCCTCTAATACATCCCCTCTCTGTTAAAGGCACCACTGTTCACCAAGTTGCTCAGGTCAAATATCTGGAGTCATTCAGTTCTCTCTCTCTCCCACGCAGTGTCTAATCTATCAGCAAATTCTGTTGTCTGGATCTTCAAATTTTACGCATCATCATCTTTTTTGACACCACTCTCATCCAGGCCACTGACATCTCCTGCCTGTACCTTCGCTATCCTTCTCTAACTAGTCTTCCTTCATACTCTTACCCCTCACAGACCATTCTCCTCACAATGGCCAGAGATACCTTTTAAAGATATAAATTAGATTACAAGTGACTCCGTTGTTCAAAAGTTTCCAGTGGCTTTCCATTGTGGTTGGAATAAAATCTCAAGTCTCTTTATGGCTTTCAAAACTCTTCATGATCTGAAGACTTTTCAAACACATCTCATGCCTTTGGACTCTTATAAAACTAACCTCAAGTTTATTTGGCTTTTAACAGTTTCTAGAACCACACCAAACTTTTCACCTCATCAGAACATTTTTGTTTGCTAGTCCCTTAAGCCTGGAACCACCTTCTGCAGTTTTAGCATAGCTGGCTCCAAGCCTAAAAAGCTATACATAGAGCAGAAGGAAGAGTGTAATTAAAAGAGCTAACCAGGTCTTACTTCACACTTAGATCCTTAGCGCCATGGATCAGACCTGTATTGGGAAGAAAGAAGTCATTTAAATCAAGTTTATGATTGAATCTTTAATCTAGATACACGTTAATACAGAAAACATTGTAGAATTTGCCTAAGATGTTATTGAAAGATACAGATGGGAAATTCACTATACCATGGTTGAGGGCAAAGTTTGGGGGAAAAATTAAGAAAAAAAGAATAAAAAATACATCATATCTATAGTGTCGCCATTTAACATTTCTCAACAAACAGTTTCTCTGGTTTAGGAAAGGCCACAGATGCACACTTATATCAGAACCAACCACATGGTGAAACTTCCGCCTTGGTTCTAATAATATTCCAGTTGACTCCTTTTAGTTTTCTAAGTAATGTATCTGGGACGTATTATAAGAATCTTATACCCCAATTAAGTAGTATTATGTGTTAAGCAATAAAAACAATTCTCACAATGCAAGTAGTCAAAAAAATGGAATTCTTGAATATATTTACTAAAATAAAACAAAGTAAAGGTGTACTTCAACTGATGGAGATGAAAACGTAAAACAAAACAACTTAAGAATAAAAAAGATCTACAGTAAATATTAAAACCATTAACTATATAGAGTGAGGTACGCTGCTTATAAATATTAATTAGAAACATAAATGCACAAGTCACTATGGTTCTTTAAAAAACAATGGCATATTACACAATTAGTCATGTAATTTAAAAATGGATCTAATATCCCAGGTCAATTAATGGCAGGTAAGAAGTAAAACAAGTAGAGAATAGATGAAGTAAAAACGTACCAAATTCTTTACTACAAATATTATCAGACTTAAAAGTTCTTGAAAATTAGAGACATGTAGATTTAGATGTGTGGCTTGATACTCTGAAAGAGATTCAAGTGGAATAAAAAATATAAGTAACTTGTAATCACTATAAAATATTAAAGAAAAGCCTTAATATTGATATTCTCAAGAGTCATTGTGAACTGAAGGAAAAATCACTTTTGTTTTATACAAAAATTATTTGCAAATATAGGAAAACATTTAGGGAAATGTAACAGTGTTGTAGTTATTAACACTGTGTCTGTTAAAGAAAATTACTTTTTTAAATGTAGGCACATAAAATAAATATTAATATAATGATAAATTAGTATATGTTTATTTACTTTTGACTTAAAAGTATATCTTCTCTTTACATGTTCATAAAATATTTAGCTTATATTAGTGTACAAAACATCAATAATTTTCCAACAACAGTTATTGCACAAAATATCACATCAAAATTCCTTAAAGTTATACCAAAATATGCATTTTTAAAACTTCAGTCTCATTAGTTTCTTTGGATCTTTGGTTAGCATTTAGTATATAAAATTTCAAATACCCAACTCTCAGTTTTCTTGGAAATGGAACCACCAATTTTTGGCTACACAGATGGCCAACTAGAATAAGGACTTCCCTTGCACCTAGGTTAGACATGTGACTACATTCAAGCCAATGAGATGCAACATGTACCTTCTGGTACATGTCCTTCAAGAGAAGGGATATCCCTTTCCTTGTCATTTTCTTTTGCCTGCTGCCACAACAATGAATTGGAGCATAAGTAGCTGTCCTGGGTTCTGGAGCATCAGCTAAGGATGGCTGAGCAGCACAGCAGATAATCCTGGGAATCTGATGGTACCAAGACTTCTCTAGATACCTTTATTGGGAGCCGTTTCTGGTTAGTGACAGAAAAATAAACCCTAACGGGGTTGTGTGGAAGCTGAAGTGGTTGACAAGAAGCAACAGCAAGGATTGCAGGCTACTCTTTCTAAAAGCTTCACAGTGAAACAAGGAAAATGTGGAGCAGTAGTTTGTGGGAGATCAAGACTGGGAGAGAGATAACCTTTTCTGGGGCATTCCAGGAGAATCTGGAATGTTTATACTCTGAATTCAAGAGAGAATTACCTGGGAAGAGAGAGAAAAATTGAACAAACTGTTGCAACAAAATCTAAGAAGGGCTAGGAAGGAATAGAATCAAAAGCAAATGGGGAAGAGACTAATCTCCTGTTGTCAGAAAGGAAGAATAAATAGAGATAAAGACACATTTGGCTAATACCTAGGTGATTGGGTTGGTCTGTGCAGCAAACCACCATGACACACATTTACCTAGGTAACAAACCTGCACATCCTGCACATGTACCCCAGAACTTAAAATAAAAGTTGAAGAAAAAAAGGACACATTTGAAAGTTCAGGGTAAGTAAGTTAAGGATGCAGTAGTCTCCATTTTTTCCCCAAAACTTGAGAAGCAAAGCAAGTCTTAAGAATGAAGAAAGTAGTCAAGGTTTGAATAATCCTTGAGGGATTTGAAAGACAAGCAAACAGCAGAAAAGAAAAGAAAAAAAAAAATTCTTGAGTGTTCCCGAGGTCTCACCTGAAGGCCATAGAATATTTGTCATTTCCCAGTGAGCAAAGCAAAATGACTTCCTTCAGCAGTGCTTCACAGCTTAGAAATCAGAGTCGGTCAGAATGAATCACTAGGCTGTTGTAGAACAGACTATTTGCAAGGCTTATACAGCAGAAGATCAAAGGGTTGGTGGAAATGAGTGTGTTGATGACAGTGTGGTGGAAATAATAAACCATGAAGTCCAGACAAGTTAGGAAATACATCGAAATAAGAAGGGACTGAGAGTCTGATTCAATAGAGACAAGGGAAGGCGATTAGGCTTGGGCACATTGACAGTGAGCAGAGCAGCTATGTAGACATGGCGGTGACAATGGAAAGAGGGAACCTGGCGGTCCACACAGGGAAGATCACAGCAGAATACGGGAAGTCAGAGGTGGAGCGGAAAGGCCAAGGGATGTCTGCAAATGAAGTCACAGCAGAGAAGGGGGAAAGTGGTCAGAGCAAAGGGGATCAAATGACTGAAGTTGGGAAGTGAAGTGCCTCATCCAAATCAAAGTTGAAATCACCCGTGGTTTTGGAAGGAAAAGGCTTAGAAAAAAAAAAAAACGAATCCAGAGTCCAGCCTTGTTCCAGAAGCTATGGCTATAAACCCAAAACTCATGGAGACAAGCAGCCATTGGAAATAAGAGAGCAGCCCAACCAGCTAAAGAGATGCTTCTTGTCAGTATCACCCAGGACTTTCCATAAATGTAAAACCCACAAAATGCGCATGTTAGGTCTGCTTTAAAGTAATTTTTAGAAAAATATTTTATTACTATTAAATCACTGTGAGTGAGAAACGTTGAGTTCTTACTGTTATTTTTGTTTTCCTAATAATAATATCTTACTTAGTACTTACGACAGAACCGTGCAGGATCAAGGTAGTATTGATTTTTTACTTTTTCTCTTGTTCCAGTAGAGGGCACTCAAAGCTCAAATAAATGCATGCAATCATTTTTACAGCAATTGTTGTTTTATATAATTAAAACTCATCTTTAAATGAAAAAGAGAACATCTAATTTAATAAAACTTAATTACTAGTCATGCATGTAAATTTTACTAAAATGAGATGAGATCTTATAAGTGTCTAAATGAGGACATGCCTCCCCAGACACACTTCTTTCATTTTCACTCAGCGCACAACTAAAAGCGGAAAGAAAATTCTCTTGTCTAAGATGTGAGTTGGGCTTTCAAAACACCAAGTCTGCCACAGACACCTGATCCTCAAGTTCTATTTTCATTCCCATCTGGACTTCTTCGATAAGGGTTTTCAATACACTGGAAAATAATCCTGTGGGCTACTGGACAAATATCTTTCAATGGAAAACATCTAAGAAAGAGTTAATAAGACAGAAATGACATTGGAACTAGAGAGGCCACCCTCTGAAATATGTACAACCAATGAATGAGATGGTTAATACTGAGGTTGTTGCCACTGCACAGTCCATAAGAAATTCTCAGGAAAGTTTCAAGAAGATCTTATGTTTTAGAGAGTTAAGAAAATGCAAGTATTATCACTGCTTGAGGGAAGACTATCTTCCAAGCACAAGATTAACTCTGTGTGGCTTTGGTTCCACGTGACAGAGTGACGGTGGAAGATATAAACAGTGGTAACATTGCTGTCCTCCTAGAGGAACTAGGCCCTGGGATCAAATGATTCTACTGCTGACGTCTTTGCCATGGTGGGGCTGCTATGATCCAAACATGGCAGCTTTTCCAGACACAGAGAACATTTCAGTTTGAATTTATTTTTTACGTTGGAGTAATGATTCTTTGTGGGGAGCACATGGGAATCATGCCAGCATCCTTCAATAATGGTGATCCATCAACATGAATTCGCCCCTTCAGTAGAGTTCAGGATGCTACAGGGGAGAGAAAACTGTCTCCAGAAAAGTCTTTTTGGCAAGGATGGTAGCCCTGGCATTATAAAGAGTATGTTATGACTTATTGATAACGGATTTTTAAAATAACTAGTTGCAAGACTTTGAAACATTTTGATTTAAGAACTCCCTTTATCTGCACCTCACCCTGACTAGACACACAGTCCTCCTTGCACTCAGAAACTGAGTCTCTTTTCCCCAGGAATAGCTCAGTGCTGGGATTCTCCTGTCATATTAGAGATGCATCAACTCTGTTACACTCAGAATGCAAATACCAGCGAGGCCAAGTCTAAGAAGCTATGCAAAATGGAGGCTTTTTTTTTTTTTTTTTTAAAGCACTTTCCCTTTTTCCTAATAACATGGCAGTACAAGATAAGGGATTTAGAATTTAAGACCCTGAGGGTGTCCACACATCAATAATGACAATCAAAGTACTTTAAAACTGTAGGTTAAATATAGAATATTTATGGGTTGGTGTCATCGTTGGCCATATCTAGCCTTGCCATCTATCGTTGAAAGACCAGGCTGCCGCTGTCTCATTGTTTATTCTTTTTCTCAGTTCTCTGACAGCGGCTTGGCTTATAGTTATAGGCAATAAATTACAAGGTTGAGTCTAGTTTCTAACCTTGTGGCTAAAGATCTCCCATTACCTGGTTAGGCAAGCTAAATATTTTACTTAAAATGGCATCCTTAATCATTATAAGAAAATCATTCAAATGAGAGTGAATGCTGATGGCCTTAACATGAACAAGCAGTTCCCTTTACAAGTGTGGTAGAGCGGCAAACACACAGTAGTGCAGCCAGAAGGTCTGCCTTCTCTAATTTGGGCAGGTGTTTCTTCCCTCTGAGTCTCAGTTACTCCTTCTTCACCCAAAGCAAATAATCCGTAGACTCTTTGCCTGTAGGTATGATTTTTGTATCACCTAGGATGCATTCTGCTGCAAGCAACAACAACAACAAAAAACCTAGCTAAAAGTGGCTTAATAAATAAAGGTGCATCTGGTCTTACCCGACAGGAAGTCTAGGCACCAGGAAATTCCAGGGAAGTTCAGTCAGGAGCTCAATGATGTCAACCATCTCTGCAATCATCTTGGCCTTTGCTTCAAGATCACAAGATGGCTGTTCCCAGTATCATATCCTCACACGGTGACATTTAGAGACAGAAAAATTGGTATTTTTCTTATTTCCATTTTCTTAAGGGCTGAAAACACTACTCCAGAAGTTCCAGACTTCACCTCACTGACCAAAATTGTGAAAAGTGTCCATTCCTGGGTGAACCACTGGTCTAGGATACAGAATTACCATAGTTAGCCTGGATCGATCAACATTCTCCCCCTGTGGCAGCAAAGAGTTCCAGACTGCCCTGCCATACAAGGTGAACATGAACAAAATCAGGGTTCAGTGAGGAAAGGGTGGTGGCAGGTGACTATGGCTCCTTCCCAATCTCTATTTGCATGGAAACGTATACACAGATTTACTCATCCATACCCCTAATGACCAGTATTTCTATCTAACTAACACAGTTCCATCAGGTAGACTCTGCCCTCTTTGCTGCACAGTTTGGAAACTGTCCTCTTTAGAACATATTTTCAGTTTGGTCAAAGTACTTAGGAGCGCATACAAGACCCCACATATTAAATTCCTCAAACAGGATCTCCTAAGCCTGCTTTAACTTTATTGAATCCCAATCCCTGTAACTAATGACATTCCATGATATCAATTATGGGGAGAGTTGATCTGTCATCACTGCTAGAGCCTCACTAAGTGGCGATGGCATAGAAGAGGAGAGGAACATAGGGTTGCTTCTAAAACTCATCATGATCAAAAGGTCAACTTCATATAACCAGTTTTTTTCTGTCCCTGTGGTTCGATAATTTCCTTCAGAAAAGACCCAGAAGCCTCCATTTACCATATATGTCCTCATCTTTCCATTTCAGGAAACTTCTTCAATTCACGATGGTCTCGCCTGTGTTCAGCATGGTACACTGTCTTCCCTTCCCTCCACGAGGATGGTTCCACAGATGAAAACAGGTAATTTATGTAATTTATGACCGGGGCAAAGTGATGTGGCTTCTATTATTTACCCTTTCACCTCTGGCTTCATTGTCTTTGTCTGAAATCCTGTTACTGGGGATGGAGGGGAAACGGAGCTTTTCTTTTGGAGTTGGGCTGGAGTTCCTCCTTATCTCAGTCCAGCTGAGCTGGGACTGCAATTTGTTCTAGGAGACTGTCACACTGGAAGAGTAACTGAGCTCATAAATTAGAAGAGAGCTGAGGTCCAAAATACCAGAAGGTGAATCAGGATGTTCTCAACAGTCAGAGGAGCAGGGCAGAGGCAGATGTCAGTTGGGAAATGGATCCAGAAATTCAGTGCCAGGACAGTGTGAGCAGGAGAAAGCACCTACCCCCGCATCAAGGGAACAAATAGAGAGAAGGGGACGGAGCAACTGATGGACATGTGGGTCAGCCAGTCTGGCTTAACCAGGAGTCATTTGGATAAAAAAAGTCTTCCAAGTTGTTTGCATCATCAATCTATTGGGCTTTGAGAATGGCAGTGATAAAAATAAGAACACATTTCTAATTTTCTTGTTTGAAATAGAGTTGCTTTGGGATTGAAAGCTATTTATTCTTATACTAATCTGAGGTTCTCCCTTGTTCTCATACTTTAACCTCATCTTACTCAAGATTCTTTCTAGATTTAGGGATCATTATTCACATGCAGTTACATTGTATCTTCAGGGAAAATGAGTTGGCATGGAGTTTGTTGTGTCTGTCTCCCTATTATTGCTGTGGATTTAGATGTGTTATTTTGTACAGCATGTTAAAGAAAATAACCTGGAGACACTATGCATGTACATTTGAGTTCAGACGACAATTTGGTCGATAGATTCATTCTGTGTAGAGCAATTAAGCTGTATTTTCTTAAACATGCCTGCATGAAAAAGAATGATTTTCTAGGGATAAATCTATCTATTGATAACTATATCTATATCTATGTCTACATCTATATCTATACCTAATCTCTATCTATATTTACATATGTCTTAGTTGAGAAGCCTTTTAGCTTCGAGGAATAGAAACTTGACTAATACTAACTTAGTCATGCAGAGGCTTATATGTCTCAGTTAACAATACACTTGGAGCCAGACAGTCCAAAAGCTACTGTTTTCATCTTTTTGCTCTGCCATTCTCAGCATGATGGCTTATTGCCTCAGTGTCAAAAGGTGACTGCTCCAGCTCTAGCCATCTCATCTGTGTCCAAGTCAGGAGAAAAAGAAAATTGCTGGCACTTTCTGTACTTTTATCAGGAAATGATGGGTCTCATGGGCTTGCTACCTACAGTGAAAGCTAGGAAAAGGTGCTTTTTGTTTTTCCAGCCTTCATGGAAGAGGTGGCCCCAGAAGAATGGGGCTGGGGGTGATTCTGAAGTAAAGCAGCTAAGAATGACCCACGCCTCGCTGCAGTGAAGACCCAACACAGGGCAGCGGTGACAATCTAAGGACAAGATCTTGTGTGTTGGTTTTAACTTGGGCATTTTTATAGGGTTTTCTTATTTAAAGGAAACTTTGCTTGGAATGCCGTAACAGCCCTGAACAATAGTAGATGTTTAGAGCTTCAGAAGCTGAATTTAGAAACAGCCTGAGGGCTGGCGAGTGGGAATGTTAAAAACAACTTTTTAAATTTAATGTTTACTTATTTGCCTTGCATTTCTTCACTTATACCTGTCTTTTCATAAAGAGATTTCAGGAGTCTTATAAAGGAACATAAATTATTACAAAGTAGCACAAGTTAAAGTTGGAGCAAAAAAGTGTATGGAGCAGAGCAACCTGGAAGCAGAAATTGGACCAGAAATGCACTTCATGTTGAGATAAACGTGTACTCTGGGAGGGACCTAAATCTGCCTTTAATCTTTTTATCTGTCAAAAAGGACAATCATGGCAGTCACATACATAGGTCACAGGGTATATGAGGTGCAAACAGAGCCAAGGTATCAAGGAAGAGCACAGAAGAGGGTCCTACATCCAAGTATTTCATCTAGTTGCCCAATTTCTCTTCCTTATTTTTTGGCTCCTGTTTCCTCTAGAACACATCCTATCTAGGTTTCCTTCTGCTGTAGTGTGAATGACTCTCCCTATGTCTTGGAGCTGAATCAGGGGGAGAGCAGGCATCTTCCATGGGTGCCCTCCTGCCTCCCAGTATTATTAATATTTGCACCTCCCTCTTGGTCGTGAGGGCTCCACAGCCGGTTGGCCATTTGGAGTATTTTTTCTAGTGCCTCTCTTGTGAAGCGACATTTTTGCTTTACTTCTTTTCTTGGGTTACAGGAAAAAGAAGACAAATTTATTAGAACATGTAAGGTATCAGGTACTAGTTGTATGTCTTCTAGTAGCTCATTTAATCTTCCTGCTAGCTTGGAAGGAGTCACATATTATAGTTGGGTTGAATTATTTGCCCAAGGTTAGAGCTAATCACTGGCAGAGCTGGGATTTGAGCTTGGATATGTCTCTGAAGTCTTTCCATTATACCACTTTTTTTTTTTTTAAACCCTGCATTTATTTATAAAACCGAGTTCTACTGCTGAAGTTGGGCATCTGAGGTTAGGCTAATGTCTCCTCTTACCTCTACTCCCCAGCCAATTTCTCTGAAGGCTGTGCTCAGAAGTTTCCTGGAGTTGGAATTGGAAGGCTCATTTATTATTTTGTATTCTTTTACTGAGTAGCTGTGTGACCATGGGTATTTCACCGAAGCCTTCTCAAAGCCTGTGCAGTGGGAACTACGATTACAACCCCACTGGCTCCATGGTAGTGGCAGTGGGAGGGAGGGGTCGGTGTCAAACTCAGACTAGATGGTATTTGTTGTAATTGCTATGGAAAAAAATAAGCTTTAATCACATTCAATGCATTGTTTTTTACTTATTATTATGACCTCAAGATGTTGTTGTTGAGAAAAATCCTACTTCTCCTTTGGTTTTCAGCCCTTGGGTCACTTTTTAAGGAAAATCTGGCTGTCTTGTCTCCGGGAGTGCTGACTCCATGAGCTCCCTGTTCTGTTAATGTTTGCCTTCTTCCTGCAGAAAAGGGGAGGTTGACTGTTTTATTCAGGGCTGTCTTCCTAGCCTCTACCACAGGAGTCAATACAGATCAATAGGAATAGCTCTGAATTTTAATGTCAGGTTGACCGTCAGGTTGAGAGATCACTCCTTAAAACTAGAAGACTAAAATTTTTTTAGCAGATATTTCTTGCAGTGAGGTAGTTGCTTTGGGAAGGGAGGGCTTTTGGGGTCGTGTCAAAGGTGAATAGTGGCCGGGCGCGGTGGCTCAAGCCTGTAATCCCAGCACTTTGGGAGGCCGAGACGGGCGGATCACGAGGTCAGGAGATCGAGACCATCCTGCCCGTCTCTACTAAAAAATACAAAAAAAACTAGCCGGGCGAGGTGGCGGGCGCCTGTAGTCCCAGCTACTCGGGAGGCTGAGGCAGGAGAATGGCGTAAACCCGGAGGCGGAGCTTGCAGTGAGCTGAGATCCAGCCACTGCACTCCAGCCTGGGCGACAGAGTGAGACTCCATCTCAAAAAAAAAAAAAAAAAAAAAAATGGTGAATAGTTTGTAACTCAGACATCTCATAAGGCTGATCCCACTCACAGCTCCAAGAGGAAGGACTCATGCTGGGGAAGTAAGCACAGGAGCAACTAGATAAAACAGATCCTAACTGACATTTTAGTGCCTCTCTAAAACAGAAATTGCTGGTGTGTTGTACTTACACACACAAGGCTATATACACTTACACCCATCTCTGTGGGATCATGTGCACAGACACATGACACTGTAGTTGGACTCTGAGGAGCACACCCTGGGAAGAAGGGGCTTTGGAAACTCAGCTAATCATTCCTGCAGATCCCTCAGTTATTAGCAGGGACAGCGGCCATCCTGCAACCACAGTCGGGCGGCCTCTGCCCCTGGCCGCTCCACACAACTCTGCAGCTCCTCAGTCCTCTGCCTTGGCAGAGTTTCCAACATTTAAAAGTAAATAAGTAGAGAATTTTCTTTTTCTTATAATGAATGGTTGCAAATCAAGCTCAGCTTATACCTAGAATCCAGGAACATATTCTTGGATTTGACTACCTGGAAGCGAGAAATTTGAGGCAATGTCCTCCCAGCATGACTTCCTAACCACCAACATAGTTTAGGGTAGTATCCACACACAAGACAAGGGGGAACGGGCTGAGCTGCAAAAAGAAAATGGAAACATTCAAGGGAGACAGTAGGAAAATTTTTTTGACTCTGCA